TCCCTCCCACTCTAGACCTGCTGTACTGCCAGCAGGGACCTGGCATATCCAGTATGAGCATCCTTCCTTCCAAGGTCACAATCAGGTGTCTAGGAGTGGAGGAAGCCTGCTCACATCTGGGATGAGGATCTGCATGCATCACCAACAGCAGCAGCTTGTCAGCCTCTCCCTGGACCTTGAAAAATGCTTCAAGCAAGCGGAGCAAAAATGATGCCACTTTCAGCTAGTCAGACTTCATTTATTTCATTATGCCATGAACTCTGATTTTTTTGCATTATCCACAGAGACTCCTAGGATGAGATAAGGCTCACATGTGCAATGTGAATGAGGCAAGCAGTAGAAATAAAGGATAAACAAGGAAAAAAACCCTCCCTGTAGTTATTCAGGGATTCCAGGGAGAAAGAGAGGGAAGAAGAAAAAAGCCCTCAATCCTCTTTTCCATCTCTTCTTTAGAACATTTTTACATAGCACCTGACTGTGACAATAACACAGCTAGCAATGGCCCTTTCCTTTGTAAACAGAAGGCTCCAACAGTGGCAATAAGTCTTGACTGGTGAGTTATTGTGAAAAATATTCAGATGTTTTGCTCTCCCACTGTGTATCCTCAGGTAAAGCTCCAGCATTTCTCAAAGCTAATATTCTTTCATGCAATTAAATATGTACACCACTACTTTTTTGAAGTATTTATCATTTTCATTAGAGCAGAGCTTCCTGATAAGATCCTGCCACATGAACCTTCATCAGGGCTCTGAAACACCACCTGCACTCCACCAGCAGCCCAAAGTGGATGTGAGGGAAGAGCTCAGCTCTGCTGAGGGCCATGATGAGCAGGTCAGGGCCTCTCCTTGCTATGTGTAAGGATCAGTTAGAGAACTAAATAATCCTGAAAAATGCCCTCCAACCAGGGATCACCAAGGAAATGCTATAAAGTACTTCTCCTATAACAAGAACTGGTCAAGGCACTTTAGGAAGGAGGAAGTTGCTCTGTGCTGGTGACAATGACATAATTTTTATGTTGGTGACCAGCACAAATGGCTGACTGCAGGTGGAAGACTTCCCTAATTTGGATGCATATAGTGGTCTGAAAGCTTATGGGGAAGGTGGAGAGTTTGCCAAAAAGACTTTCCTGGAGCCCACTCAGTTTTATCATCTCTGAAAGGGAGATGAGGAAAAGATTACCAACTCTTCTGTTCATCTAAAATAAGAATATAATACAGGGACAGCTGCACAAAGTGAAGGTTGGGCCACATTGCCACTTAAGGGCACCATGAACTGAAAGTTGCACAGCCCCCAGGAATGTGGGGAAATTGTGCAGGGATTGTGCAGGGAAAAGGGAGTGGGTACACCACCATTACCCACAGGGCCTGTGTCAAGGCAGGGACAAGGACTGCAGGACAACCAGGATCATCATGTTTAAACTGGTAAAAGCTGATCTTTCTGCTTCAGTGGAGGAAATCCCATTACAAGCTCAAAAGTACCTGAGTGTGACAATAGTACATGCAACTTCTAACTCAAAACAACATTAAAAATTCCCAAATTAAACCCCCAAACAAACCAACCCAGCCCCCCTCCATCCCCCCAGAATTATAGAATGGAATAACAAAAAGCTGAAGATCTGAAATGAGTAGACCACACAGTCATCCCTGTAATTTGCTCCACTTAGCACTTCCTTGCAAGCTGTATTTACTCATATACCAATAATGCTGTGAATAGAAATTAGCAGCCCTTCATGTTGATAAAAGGCAGGCACGTGGAGCTTTCAGAGACACTTAAGCAGTGTGCACAGGAGAAAAGCAAAGAATCCTTATGGGGCTGGAAACATTTAAGAGGCACTATAATTGAAGCAAGACAAAATAAATAGAGCTGTAAATTAGACCAGATTTGTTACAAGTCAATCAGTAAATGCAGAGATTTCTCTTTCAGGTCTATTACATCTCAATGAAAAAAATTGAAACACATTCAGATGCCAAACACTGTAACAGACATGCTAGTCAAGAAACAAAAGAATGCAAATACAGCATTTTCAAGAAGAAATATGCATCACCAGCAAATCAGTTGGCACAGAACTGTGGCTGCTTCATGGAAATAACAGATTTTACACCTTTTAACTACAGATCATGCCAAGAGGTCCAATCCTACTCCAGGAATTGCTCACGTCTCCCAGACTTTGAAGCACAGAGATTAGAACTGGGTTTGCCAAGTACTGGTATTGGTTTAGGAAATACAGCAATTACCTGCTGATCTCAGGGATGGGGTAGATGCCCTGCTCTGCCCCCAGCAAGCTCACTACACATTCTGCATGAAGTGATGCAAGAGAACAAACACAGGGACTTCAAGCTCTTTCTAAACAGCAGACCCCATTTCTCTACACTCAGCTCCACTAAGCAAAATAAGAAGCATATCCATAGTCCATCAAAGTACACCTTGGTCAACTATAAAAGCAAAATAAAGAACTGGCTAACCACGTCCAGTGCTCTCAAGTGTTTGTGCCATCCTTTTTGTTTGGCACCATTCCTTGCACGGCAAGGCAGCACAATTGCCTGGCCTTAGAACAACCTTATGGAGAGCTAACGTTGCCATCGTGTGGTGACCTTCAGAAATAAACCGCACTCCTGCAGTTCTCCGCCTCCCCTGGAGCTTTACCAAAAGGAAGAACCAGCCCTGAGGGGTGGACAATGCCCGAGGACTGAAAGGAGGGTGGCTTGCCCACAATACAGATTTCAGAGAGGTTTCATGAGTTGCTGAAAGGAGCACCAGATGCTGCTCACCTGGAACACACTGAACATGAAATGCACAGTGCAGGTACCAAAACCTGATATATTCTGTTATTGCTCTCTTCCCCTGTCCTGGGTTGACTATATGATGCTTTTATTCCCAATCGTCTTGTTCTGTTTATGCTGTTTATGCACCTTTAAGACTTGTTCCAGAGAGTGAAGGGGGGAGAGAAGTTTCTTTTCAGACACTGCACTCACTTCTCCACATTCTTGCTCCTGGACTGTGTTGCCTGCGGATGGACAGACAGCGGCACAGAGCTCTCCTTTTTTCAGTTAGTTTTAGTTAGCTGAGGCAAAGAAGTTCTCTGGACTGTGGGTTTTTTTCCTTTCCTTTGGACCTATTTAAACCTGCTCTGGACTGAACACCCAGAGGAGCACAAGCAGTTTGCACATGTGGCCCACCCGGCTGGGCTGTGGCATTTCCAGCACCAGAGGGACTGAAAACAGACTGGGTGAGCTGAGCTACAGCTCACCAAGGGGACCTTCTGAGTTTGTCATCTCTTTTGGGAGCACCAAGAGTTTTATTAATATTGTTTAGGTTTTATTGTTTAATAAACAGGTTTTTTTCCACTTTTCTCCAGGGAGGTATTTTCTCTCTAACCAGTTGAGGGGAGGGGACAACTGAATCTGCTTTCCTAGAGGAGCCCCTTTGGGGTTTATTTCCAAAATTTGCCCTGAACCAGGACATCCCCTTTTGGCCAAATTGTAAAAAAAGAGTCGTTTGACAGAAATACTGCTCGTTAGGTGTGGTGTTACAGAGCCCAGCTTTAAGGCACAGAACACTCTCTCCCCTCAGCAGCGCCTAAATCTTTAATGCCCCACCCTCGTGGCAGTGCTAGGGCAGACACAACCCTCTACATGTGTTTCATACCTCAGCCAGGTTGCTCTCCAGGACAATCCCAGCTCCCAGGGATTGCTGTACACCTTATATATCCTGGAAACACTGCAGCTGCCTCAACAGCTGCTGAGCAGTAGGAATGAAAGCACTGGATAAACTGCAGTCATAGCCAAAGATGTTCTGGGGAAGACAGTACCTTTAAAAACAAATAAATGCTGTAAAAGAAGCATTTCTGAGCTCCTTATGATTGAAGGCACATCTATTTTCTGTACAGGCACTTTTACCATTTTTTCCCCAGTCTTATATAACCAAGCTTAACAGTAGTACATAAAAAAAAATCAAGAACCCTAAGGGACAAATCTTTCACCTTAAAGGACCTCCAGGTTGATAGAACTTCGAAGTTACTTTCAAGTTAAGAGTTTCAGAGTAGGTGGATTTAATCACTTCAAAATCCAATTTAAAATCAAGGTCTCCAGACACTTGAACATGGCTTTAAGTCCCAATTTGCATAATTTTTGATTTTTTTTCCCTCAGCAGTTATATCCCTTCCTATCAACCATGTGCTTGAACTCTATTTCCAAGGGTACATAAATAGCTCAAGACAACACTGTATTCCTTTTAAGTGTGTGGGTATGCCTAATGTTGGCTGAAATGAAGCACTAACCATGTTAATAGTTAAAGCAAATTTTAGCTTATCAGTGTATTTGACAACATATATTTGAGTATGTGTATGACAATATGAAGGTCTCACAAATTGATTAATTGTTTAAAATAGATACTTCCTCCTTCAATTTATATTTGACCGAAAAAATAATTTGCTTTTGAATTATCAGATACCTCACTTCACAAGATTTCTCCAATCAATGTGAAGAAAATGTATCTCCTGCCAAGAAACTACAGGAGGAAACACAGGAAATTACATGGATGCTGACGCTGAGATTTGTAAACATTATTTTCCAATGCCAAGACTAAACTGAGCAGTTCAGTTACAGATGAACTGACTTTTAGGTCATGCTCCGTTTTACTTGATGGTTCTGATTAAATAGTGGAAATTAGTTCTAACCAGAATACATTCTTTCAGCATATGCCTGAGTTTATGCAGAACCATTAGTGTGATTATTTTCATGTATTCTGCACTCAAGACTTTGCAAGTAACATTGTACATTCCCAACCAATTCCAATAGCAGACTGCTTTGAAATGTCAGGATGTGACCTACTTCAAATAACTGGAAATGCAATTATTTCAACTGGCATTGTGTACTGAGTACTGGGCACAGCATGGCAAAAGCATTTCTGCATGTTCCTGGGGAGTACTAGAATCCAACACTTGGACATTAAAAAATAAGACAGACAACCACTCTTGGTTAGAAATAAAAACAAACGTATGATTTAAATTTAAATCAAATGTTTGTAATTTTAAAATTAGAACAAGGACACAGAGTTACACATAATGAAGTTCATTTTATTTCTGTGCCTTCTGTGCCTTGGGTGCTGGTGCCTTCTCTGGCTTCTTGGCCTTGGGTGCCTTCTCTGGCTTTTTGCCCTTTGGTGCCTTCCCTGCCTTCCCAGGCTTCTTGGCTTTTTTAGCAGCGATCTTCTGGAGCTTCTTCATTTCATGCTTGATGATTCTGTTCCTCTGTTAAAAAAAAAGAAAATATTTACAGTTCATCAGCATGAGAAGAGCAAGAGTTCAAATACTGTGCCTTAATTCAAATTCTAAGCTTTCAGATTCTGCCTCTTATCATAATCACCCTTTACCATGCACTGTATCTGAAATGTCAAATTCCACCTAAAACTGTTCTAATCTACCAAGTGGATATTATCATTCTGGCTGGTAGCTCAAGCATCTCAGTATTTCATGTGTAATGATTTTCATTAGAGGGTGAAATACTAACAGCTACCCATCCAGAATATTTGATTTTATCAGCTGGCAATTCCATCCTCAGCTGTAACTTGGGAGGATTGACACATGGATTATACAAGTTCAAGTCTGACCAACTACAGAAGACAAAGTGGTGACATACAAAAAAGCACGGAAAACTCAAGGCATTCACACCCACAGTGTCATCCCATAGCCCAAGCCAGCTGTGAAAGTAAGCTACCAACACTGGATGTGACTCTCAAGTGAAAGCTACAAGCATTAACCCCATGAAGAAGCAGCACTCAAACACTTACCATTTTCTTTGCTTTCATCACCTTGTAGCGATCAAAGTCAGTCATTTTGGCTTTCTGTGTGAAAACAATCAGTCATGAAACTCTGATATATGCAAGCAGTACAACTCAGCATTCCAAAGCATTCCTAAAGTAACTGATCATCTCCAAATGATGTTTAGCTGCACTTCTGCAACTAGCTCACAGTTTAAGGCCTTTGCACCATCCCAGGATGCAGGAAAAGAGGCTGTTATAGAAACAACTGAACAAAACCCCATGAACTGTTAAAATATCAGACGTTTAAGCTGGTAAATTAAAAACCTTGTCTACCTTTAATCCTAACTTGCTATTGAAATCATGCAGCCTTTAGACTGTACCTAATTTTACAAAGCAGAAGCAGTACAGGTACTCCTCATTCAGTGAAATACTGTTACCTTTTCTCGGGCCTCAATCTTCTTTGCCCATCTTGTCGCTGACCATTTCTCATTTATGTTTTCCTTCTCCCAGGCAAGTCGCACACACTTCTGCCGAGCGCTGCATGCGAACAGTCACAAAATCATATTCACAGTCTTTATGAAAAAAAAGGTTCTCCCTGATGCTGGCCTCCCAAATTTCATTCATTTCAAGGGAAGATGACTCCTCTACATTACTTCAGACACCTTAGCATCTCTGTGGCCTAATTAACATGCTGTTGAGTAAGTGCTGTGCCAGAACAGACAGAATCACAGGATGGGTCAGGCTGGAAGGAACCAAAGGGGGGTCACCAGCTCCAGCCTCCCTGCTCAAGCAGGGGTGTCCCAGAGCACACGGCACAGGATTGTGTCCAGGGGTTCCTGAGTATCTCCAGGGAGGGAGACTCCATAATCTCTCTGGGAAACCTGTTCCAGTGCTCAGCCACCTGAGCTGCAGGAGATCACACCTCTCTTGTGCTGAGGAGGCCAGAAGTGGACACAGCATTCCAGGTGTGGCCCCACCAGAGCAGGATCACCTCCCTCACCCTGCTGGCTGCACTCCTCCTAATGCCCCCAGGACACCACTGGCCCTCTTGGCCACAAGGACACTGCTGGCTCAGGGACAGCTTGCTGTCCACCAGCACCCTCAGGTCCTTCTCTGCAGAGCCCTTTCCAGCACCTTGGCCTGAATCCTGTGCAGGTGCTCGGGATTCCTGTTCCCCAGCTGCAGGACCCTGCACCTGCCCTTGTAGAACCTCCAAAGTTCCCTCTCTGCCTGTCTCTCCAGCCTGCTGAGATCCTTTTGAATGACAGCACAGTGCTCTGGGTATCAGCCACTCCTCCCAGCTTTGTGTCACCAATGAACCCGCTGAAGAGGCGTCTGCCCCTTCATCCAAGTCACTGATAAGTTAAACAATACTGGGCCCAGTATTGAACCTTGGGGACACCACAGGTGACAGGCCACCAACCAGACCCCATGCCACTGACCATGGACCTCTGGGATCTGCTCCCAAGCCACCTCCCTGTTCACATGAGCAGCTGCTCCTAGCACTGCTTCAGGATCAGAAGTACTGCCCCTTTCTGATTCTAAATTACAGAAATTCATACATTAACTGAGCTAAAAGAACAGAATGAGTTCAGCCTCCTGCAACTCCAGTGTAGTTCTGTAAGCAGGGAGCCCATTTAATGCCTGAAGGTGACTGAAGCAGTAGCAAAAGCAAAGCTGCAGCAGCATTTACCCTGCTTTCCCCCACACCATCCACCACAGAACTACCTGTGAGATGCCTTGACTGCTGTGAGACTTCCTGTGCTCCTCAACAGCAGCTACCAGCCAACACTGGCAATGAAAACCTAAATATATTCAACTATGGTATCACAGCATGCCAAATTTTTACTGTTAATCCACTACTGTTTGAACCTCCTAGACTTAGCAAGGATCAGCCATCAGGTGACAGCATGGGGGTTTTTTAGACAAGTCAAGAAAGATGCCAGCTCACCTGTGTGGGAACTTGAGGACAAAGTCAGTCAGCTGCATGCACTTGAAGGGCATGGCCTGCCTCCTGACACCACTGCAGGGGCCATCCACCAGTGCCTGGAAAAGGGAAACAAATGTGGGGGTTTTGCAGCAGATTTCTCACTGCATTCGATTTAGACAGCTGCTGCCTAATAAAATGTGAACAGTATCTTGACAACACTCATCCCAAACTGAAACACATATTAAGCAGACAGAAGTGGAGATTGTTGAATCTTGCCTGTACAACCCAAGGTTTACAGAAAAAAAAAAAGAACTGACGGCCTGCCTTTGACAAAAAAACCAAACTGAATTTAAAAAAAAAAAAAAAAAAACTAAGATGTGCACTGGAAGAGTCCCCAACCCCAAATAGTCACTTTATATATACATTAATGCCATTTAATTAATACGTTTAGATTCCAACTGACATCCCTTGTCCACTTCTACACCAGGGAAACACAGCAGAGAGGGGATGTATCACTTGCTGGGGGGCAAAAGCGTGCTCCTAAAGGTATCAAATACAAGTTGTTAAACCCTACCCTTCTATCAATTGCTTATTTGAAAACAGAATTTCTATTGAAATCAATACACACAGCCTTAGCATACAAGCCTCAGTTAAGGCAGAAAGGAGGAAATCCACGGGCAGCACTCACAACTTACCCTGTTTTGGTCAATTACATCCACGATGGCCACCAGCTTGCCAGCGTGTGGCCCGAAGGAGATGAAGGCAACTCTGCCGATCTCCACGAAGCGCTTGAACACCTGGGAGGGAATGAATGGACAGAGTTAGACGAGAACACACCCAAGGCCATCTTCAGATTCAGAGTTCTGAGAGCCTTTAAAAGAGCTCCCCAAAAAAATCACAGAATGGTTTGGGTTGGACAGAGACCTCAAAGATCACCTAGTCCCAACCCCCTGCCCTGGGCAGGGACATCTTCCACTTCACCAGCTTCCTCAGAGCTCCACCCAGGTTTCTAAAAATTCTACGGATGGGGAATCCACAATTTCTCTGCACAACCTGTTTCAGTGCTTCAACACCTCCAATAGTAAAGAATTTTTTCCTACTAGCTGATCTAAACCTACTCTCTTTCGGTTTGAAGCCATTCCCCCCTGCCCATCACCACACGCTCCTGCACACAGTCCTACCCCATCCTTCCTCTAAGTTCCCTGCGGCTCCTGCAAAGCTTTCGAACCGCCCGAAACCCCCACGCTTGGGCACAGCGGCCGCGCTCCCGCGGCGCCCCGAGCCCGGCCCTGCCCGGGCCCGCACCACACGCGGAGCGCGGCCCCAGCGCGGCTCAGGCGGGTGCGGGCTCCCCGCCGCTGCTGCCGCGGGTGCCGGCGGAGGGAGGCGCGGGCGGGAGCGCTGGGGCGGCAGGGGGAAGCAGGGGGAAGCGGCGGGAGCGCGGCAGGAGCGCGGCGGGAAGCGGCGGGGCCGGCGGAGCGGGGCATGGCCGCACGTACCATGATGGCGGCGGCAGCAGAGAGGGCGGAGCGGCCCCAACGCGCCCGGAAGCCGCCGAGGCGCCGCCGCTGCGCCTGCGCGGGGCGGAGCGGGGAGGCAGCGGGGACGCGCTCTCCGCGTGGCCGTGGCTCCGCCGCGCGCATGCGCTGTGGCGTCAGGGCGCCCGTCCCTTCCCAACCCTGTCCCAGGTCTCCTGTCCGTGTGTCCGTCTGTCGGACTGCACGGCGGCAGGCGGTCTTTTCCTGAAGAATCAGTTCTCCTCTCACCGCCTGCAGGTCCCGCCCTCCTCCATAGGCACTGCATTAAGCTGTGTCTCTCTGGCCGCTCTGCCGCCCAGCCTGAGCGCTGCCTGCGCTGCCAAGCGTGGGACACACAGAGACGGTCTGAAGTCAGAACGCTCTTGGTGTGAGGGCTGGTACACTTCTTGCCGCTTTCGGCTGGTAGAATTATCTTTCTTCACAGGTAATTCTACCAGCCGAATACTACCTGTCACTCAAAAGAAAATGTTTTGTTGGCCTGTGTGGAGCTGTGTTTTGGAGTTGTGCTGAGCACAGGGTTGATAACACGGAGATGAGTTTGTTGTTGCTGAGCAGGGCTTGCACAGAGCCAAGGCCTTTTCTGTCTCTCATAGTGCCACACTGGCTGGGAATTGGGGACTGCAGTTTGGGAGGTTGGGAGGAGACACAGCTGGGACAGGTGACCCTGACTGACCAAAGGAATATTCCAGAGCTTAGGACATCATGCTCACTTTATAAAGTAGGGGAAGAAGAGGAAGCAGGAGACGTTTGGAGTGATGGTGTTTGTGTCACCAAGTCACCGCCATGTATGACGGAGCCCTGCTCTCCTGGAGGTGGCTGAACAGCAGCCTGTCCATAAGGAGCAATGAATTAATTATTTGGGGTTTTTTTTATTTGTGTGTGTGGTTTTTACTTTCCCTATTAAACTGTCTTTATCTCAACTCATGAGTTTTCCAGCTGTTACCCTTCCATTCTCACCCTGATCCTGCTGGTGGGGGAGCGAGCGAGCAGTGTATATATATACATGAGAGAGTCTTGCTTTTAACCATCAGGGTTTTCTTGCTGAGACCATGGTATTCAGGAAATAATGAGTCCTGTCCACTTCAGTACCTGCATCAGTTTTGCAGCTTGCAAATTTCCACCCACTAGAACAGCATTTCTTCCTTCTCTATTAACAATAGCTTTTCTACCAGCATGAAATACTGGTAGAGGGGGTGCTGTCCTCTAAGACATGCTAAAAATAAAAAGTCTCCTTGGCTTAATTTTTCACAATTTTATTGATCTTCATAAGCAGGCACCGAAGAGTGTAAAAGATAAATAACCTCTGTACACATTCCCAAGTGTTGTCAACTTCCCTGTCTCTCCCAGAGATCCTTTCAGTTCTAGACAGCAGGACAGGGATCTGGCCTGTTGATCTGGTTCCAGCTCACACCTGGGGGAGGAGTTGGCTGTGGTCGCTGAAGCTGCTGGGCTGGAGGTTCAACACCCTCAGCTTTCCCATCTGAAACTGCCAGGAGAGGTACAAGGGAGCAGGTGGGCATCCTGGTGACACTGAGGGAGGCTGTATGCATAAGGACAAGAGGGAAGCACTAAAATAGCAAAACAAGTGATTCACGGGGGGAATTTGATTCTTTGAACAGATACTGGGCCTATCCAAGTACATCTGGAAGTCCAAATGGTTTTTGAACAAATTTACTTGTTCTTTAGCTGCCAGCTCTACAGAGACCGACTTCCAAGTGTGTTCCATTTGTGTAAAACCACATCTGAATGGCCCTGCTTCTCAATAGCAAATGTTTTGCTGGGCAAGTAAATAGTCCAGAGTACAATTTTCCTCTGAAAATTGGCGACAAAAAAAAAAAAACATTTTAATTCTCTCATCCAACTGTCTGAGTTTTTTTTTCACCCATAACTGCAGTTACACATCCATCACACAATATATCTCACGCCAGCCTCTGTAATGTCCATGCACTCTGAAGTCAATTTTACACTTTATCAGATATAACTTTGATGCCACAGAGCTCTTCATCATCGTATAATACCTTTTGCCTTATTGCTACTCCAGTATGACTGACAAGACTTAGCAGTATATCAGTAGAGAAGGGACAAAGCCCTATTGATCTGCTTGAAAAATCACTTTTTTCTTTTTTTCATTTACAAAGATATTCAGCTCCCTTCAAATCATCTGCCAGCCTATGAACAAAGCACAAATGAAAACAAAACCCCAACCCTACCACCAAACATAAGTAAGAAGGTGATATAGAAGCAAAAGACTGAAATTAAAAACATTATTTATGGGTAAAAATACTGGCCACTGTTCTCCTATCCATCCCCTAATCAATACTGGGAATAGATGAAGCTGAGGGAGTGCTATGATTTAAGGGAGTGTGAGGTTTGGTGAAGAATGGCTGGGCTTTCAAGGAAAGCAGCTGTTTGCTGCATGAAGGCAGCAGCAGGAAAACTCAGGAGTCAGAATGTTTGACAGAAGCACCTGCCAGCTGATCCCAGCGCTGCTGAAGGACAGTGCAGAGGCTGACCAAGGCACTGGAGCCATGACTGCAGCTAAAAGGATGGTTTGCTGGCCTGCAGACTGGCTCCTGTTCCTCTTGGCCTTGAAAGAAGGGCTTAACTTGTTAATGGAATGTCCAGATCTGAGACTCTGCCCATAGAGCTGAAATAATGCATACATGTCAAATCAGTTCAGACTGCCACTGTCTGAGACCAACAATATGTGGGGTATGCAGGTCAGGGCTTCAGTATGAAAAACTACAGAAAGCATTTCTGGGAAAGTTAGAAAAGGACCCTGAAAACTCCAGTGTCTTCTGAAGGCAACCATGAGATATTTAAATTTAGGTTCATTTACTAAAGTGTGAAAGCATTTTGTTACACCTCCAAAGCCAATCTTATGTACCAGACCAGAGGTGTTTTGAGGTCTCCATGGCACCAAAAAATATAGCTCTGACAGGCTCAAAAGTTCTGAGAGGTGTTGACAGTTTATTACACCTTCTTGTGATGGGGATCAATCCATTTGGAACAGCAATAAAAACAATTCTATCACAACTCTTTCTTTCACTTCTTGTCATTATCCAGTGCTTGTTCCAGCTTCATAAATTAGATTACTTCAGGGCTTTTAGAGTCAGCACTGCACACAAGGACAGCTACCATGTTCCCACCTCCCACAGTTGTTACTGACTCGTTTAATTTTATCTTAAACAATTGCCACTGTGATCAAATCCATCTCTACTTGAGCTCAGCAGTTAGCACAGAGAATTAATGAACAAAAAAACCAATATATACACACCTGTCAGGAAAAGGCAAGTAATCCCTTATAAAGCAAAGTGACATATATGCCCGTGTTTTCTCTGCTGCACACTGGACAAATTAAGTTTACAGAAACAATTACCCAAACATTTCAAAAGCACTCCAATTCACCATAACACAGATTCCTTTGTGCCCCTTCTCTATTTATGCTTCTCGTCCAGAAGTCATTTTTGCTGTCTCTATTTCTGAAAAATGGGGGGCAAAATAAAGTTCTGTTTAGTAGCACTGTAACATTTTTGATTTGTCTCCAGCCAGGTTCATTCATTCTGGAATAAATACGTGTTCCACGCGAGGAACGTCCTTCCGCTGATGCGACACAACGCACAGGTAGACGAGGAAGAGGAGGCACAGCAGTGCCGTGGCTGTGAGGAAGACGAGGAGCCCAGCAAACAGAGAAGGTTTCAGAGGCAGCTGGATCAGCTTCCCTTCTGCTGGAATCATGTTGGTGAGGCTTAACATGTAACCGAGTGACCACGCTATGCTGCTGTTACCAACCTGAAATGAAGACAGAAGAGTCCTATTTCCATGGAATTTTCACTCAAAGACTCCAAGAGCTCAACTGCTGTTAATGGCAACTGTCCTTTAAATTAGCAAGGAGAAATCTTTAGTGGAATATGCAAAGAAGATACAGAAACATTTTAAATTACCCTTTTCCTGTAGTTCCAGAAGATGGTAATAAAATTGTTCACTGGGCTAAAGAAGCGAGACACAGGTATTGGAGGGGTACTGAGGTGTGTGGTGTATATGCAGGCAGCCAGTTATGCAATTTTAAACAAACAAATAGAAAACCCCATGACCACTATGCCAATTCCTAAAATTCCTATTTTAGGAATTCTATTGCCTGCTATGCCAACTCCTAAAATTAACCCCTCACCTTAGCCAAATCCCAGGATGTCATTTGAGTTCAAGCAAACAAAAAAAACCCACAAGGAGTCTCACCAACGTGGACAAAGAGGAAGTGAGGATAAAGTCCCCAAAGAGGAACTCTATTTATCATCTTTTGTTCCATGTTTGGTTTTGTGCCTGCAAATGAACCAAAACTAGGCTCTTCCGTTTAAAAAATAAACATAAATTAAAAACTACTTCAAAATGGATGAAATAACAGCCAAGGGAGTATGTTTGTATTTGCTCCATGGTCCTCCTGCTTTGCTGTCTTTCCCCACTTCTAGTTTGAGCAACAGAGTTTACCAGTTTTCCACTGTCCTTTTCATTAAGTCATCGTCCTGCCATTTGATAAGCAAAGGATCAAAAGGTAAAGTGTCCTCTGTCTTCCTCTCATCATGAGGTTTAAAACTTATAATTATTGCAAATCATCTAGCTGTGGATCTCACCCAGATCTTAGCATTAGGCCAAGGTTCTTTTCATTGTTTGTGTTCACTAATTAAAAGGAAATATATACTCCTAGCATAGAAAAAAACCCCACCCTCCAGTCATAGTACGATTGTGCTGTTATCTCTAGGGTAGCTTGGCTGATCAGCCAACATTAGATCTTACTGTTTTAGTAGGGGCAGATCTAATAAAGAGAATATAGTTTTGCCTTTTGGAGTTTCACGATTACCCTAGTGTAAAATCTAGGCAACAAAGGTATTCATTTTAAATAAGCCTTTTGGGGTTTTGTTTTTCTCAGTATTTTTATAGTCTTGGCTAAACACAAGAAAATGTTGCTTTTTCTGGCTGCTCTTATCCGCTAGGGACAATACAATATATATTTAAATATGAAGACAAATCCACACCCCACCCCCTGCCCAGTGGAGATTAAGATCTCAAAGTACTCTATGCTGTTTTCCTGGTGGGATAGCTCAACTTTG